ATAATTGCCCAAGTTGTTCTGAATATGTTCACAACCATAAGACGGCTCAGTGTGATAAAGATGCACGTCTGTATTCACTAGTAAAACCAAACGGAGCTTGTTGACAACATATGTTCATGTTTTACTGACAATCTACGTATAGCTTTGAGCGGAGTATATAGTGAGACACAAACATGAATATTGCACTCGCTCAGAGAGGAACTCATTACACTTGTTCTCTGAGAATTTCAACACATCTCCAGAGAACAAATCACGATGGAAATAAAAATGAGAGCGCAAAAATGTCACAACATTACGGGGCTGTCAAAAAATGTGACTGAGGCAGGTAATGCACAGGTTGAAAGGAAAAAAAAAAAAAGTCATCACTACAACACAAAGAGCTGTTCTCCCAAGAAGGTTACATCAGTTGTTAACAGACTTTAACAACAGCATGCCTGTCAAATACTCAGATGTATTGAAGTAAACTTAACCAAAATTCTAAAGATTCTCTGTCATGTATAAAAAAATAAATAAATAAAAAAAAGGCCTTGGAAAAATTCTACATCACAAAATATCAGTTTGACATAAATGTCCTCAACAGGGTGAAGATGTCACATTTTTTTCAAGCTGTGCAACAAACTTCATATACACTCTCAGCTCTCTTAAGTCGATACAAAATACAGGACTTTGCATAAGAAACATTTAGAGGACTATGTAGGTGGGTCAGGTAAAGTGTGAGGATCGACTGCAGGCCGAGGTGCCATTCAGTAAAATGTCTGTGAAACTGACAGGGACACAGTTGACGCTGTTAAGTTTCTGACAGCTCAGCATGACCTGTATCATCCTAGATGCCCGTTTCCCAGGCTCCGGTGACAGACCGAGCAGTCAAAGTCACTTTTCTGCCTCCATTTCCCTCTACCGCCCAACTCAGCCACCGCTCCATCTTACTCTAGTATTTGTCCTTCAGCCCTGCCAAAAGATTTCACTTCACTTATCTTGTAAAGGTTCTGTGGAAGGATCCATATAGTCTTCTTTGTCTCCTTGTTCATCCTTGTTCATCAAGAGTTTTCTAAGTGAATCAGCATAGGGAAAAGGACTTTTGCAAAGCACTGAAAAAAAGATTCTTTTGATACTTTTATCAATGAAAAAGCTAAGAGTGAGGAGTCAGAGACTATCTTTATTTTCAAGTGGTTCCTGTAACTAAACATTTGAATATTTGGGGTTCTTGTTGAAAACCCCATTGAATGGGTCAACAAATGTCAGTCAGCCTTTATCAACACCTGGGTCAGACACAGGTCAAACACTGTATGGCTATGAAAGAAACAGGAAAGACAGAACATGAGAAAAGCTTACAAAAGCTTGTACAGAACAGTGAATTTCAGTTGTGACACAAAGGCAGTGATGGTTTGTTGTAGGGCTGAAAAAAAACATTATTTTCATTCTTGATTTGATCTGTTGATTTTTTTTTTTTTTTTTTTTTCCAATTAATCATTTAATTTTGTCTTTAAAATGTCATGACATTGTGAAAATTGCACAAGGTGACATCTCTTAAAATGTTATAGTTTATTATTTTCCTTCTGGTAATTCCTCATCATTCACTACAGCTCATAAAATATGTAGCTTGTAAAAAAGTGTTTGACTGAACCAGTTGAAGTCACAGTACACATGGATGGTACCACCTCCGCCTCACTTTGAGCCAGGACAAACCCTGTGCATGAGAGAGATGTGTGTACAGATGGAAAGGTGAGACTGACAGTTACATTTTATTTGGTGATTATTTCACGTAATTCTATGGTTTATTAGTGAAGTGTACGGAACCACACTGGAGACTCTGCCTACAGCAGCAACCAGAGTTACAGCTGCTCCATATGTAGGGGTCCAACATGTGCTGCAGACCATGGGAACATCAGCTGTAGTAAAGGGGTATAAAACGTTGTTGGGATGCTTTTATGAGTTTACCATAAATATATCAGGCTAACAGGGGGTTGTGTAGTCAGTGTCAGGGATCGACTTAATGTTCAAAGTCTGATCACAGAGGAAGTGATCTAAGCAAAGACAAACTAGTTACACGTCTGTAAGAACTGAATGTTACCTGATTTCAGCGTATTGTATGTGTGACTGCAGTGGCCTGCAAAGGAAGCATGCAAACACACAGCAGACTGGGCAGTTTAAGTGCGAGTGAATGCGTTATGTGCAAATTAGCTTATGTGCGTTCATGCTTTTCATCTAACTGATTTTGAAAATGTTTCATACACAGATGACGTGACCCGATTTCCTAAACCCGTATAGGCGTATGTAATCTCCAAAACTAGAGTTCCAAGGTTTTCATATTACATCAGCAGTATAAGCATGAGTGCACTGTGCTACATGAATGAAATCAATTTACGAGAAAGGGGAGGGGGGGGTTGAGTTGAGCAATTCATTTCAGAAAATCAGACATGTTTCTCCTGGTGGGAAAAAGCCTGAGATTTTCTTCTTCTCTGCCTCGTAGCAGCGGCGGAGGAAAGCCGGCTTTATGATACCATGATTCACTGGCGGCCTAATGAGAGCCACAGCCCTAAGCTCTTTATGTGGCATAAAGGCTGCCTCTATTAGTGCTGCTGTCAGAGAGGGGGAGCTCGGCATTGGGTGGCAGTGCACTGACAATTCAGCTCATAACATTTACTAATGGGACTGGAGGTCATCAGCTGGCAGCCCGGCGAGGCCCAGAGGAAGAACCAGCAGCAGGTGCCGCCAAAATCCAGGCCGACGAGTTAAGAGACAAGATGATACTTAGCAAATGTAATTAAACACAAGGGGGTTTTGTCACAGTGGGAGTTGATCACAGCATGTCTTCATATTCAGTATTTAATATTGTGCACACACACACACACACACCAAAATGTGTAACTACTGGAGAACTCCTGCCCTACTGCAGTTGACAGTTATCACATATGGAGCTGAACGTCTTTTGGGACATTGAGAAAGTCACTAAAACAAAAAATAAATGTGCATTGATATAATATCTGTTTTCTTTTGGAATATCTGTCAAGAGCTGGTTCAGTTATGTACATGCCCATAGTAAAGGCAGCCGTGTCCTAGAGGTTAGAGAGGCAGGCTTGGGACCAAAAGATCGCCGGTCCAAATCCCTGGACCGGCAGGAAGAAATGTGTAGGCGGTCACTCAACATCCATGGCTGAAGTGCCCTTAAGCAAGGCCCCTAACCCTCCAACTGTCACTGCTTCTGTGTGCGTGTTCACTTCTCATGGATGGGTTAAGTCCAGAGGTCAAATTTCCGGTGTGTGTAAACATACTTGGACGAATAAAAGAGACTACAGTGTTTGTATCATAAAAGAAACAAGAGAAGATTTTGTGTTTTAAATTACAGCTTGCTCACACTCACCACTGCGTTATCATCATAATCCATATTTTAAGTTTCAGCCTAATGATAAGGATAATTAACCACCCCAGCAACAAAGAAACAGATGTTTTGGTGTTAATGTGTTGTGCAGAACCAGCGTAACAAGCAGCCAGTGAGAGGACTGTTTGAAAGCATTTGACTGTCAGAGAAAATAAAAAGCAAACAGAGGGAACAAAGCAGAAGGACAGATCAAAAAAGACTGCATTTAACCAAAGCATCACTACAATGCAATTTCCTGTAATAGTGTAGTAATATTTGTGGACTTCATTCCTATCCAGTACATTTATCTACGAAAGGACAAATTTTACTGGCTTTTGTTTCTTGCCCAGCGTTAACGTCAGTCTCCAGTCATGATAAAAAGTCATCAGCTCCATCATTGTGTGTCTGCCCTTCATTTGCTCTCAGCGTATCACGTCTAGTCCTGGCTCATTTCCAAGTGAGAGGTTGCAAGGTGAATGTCCCACATCAGAGACAAAGAGGGGGGGGGGGCATTGCAAGCATCACTGCACACACAGGTTCAGAGTCAGACCATGACCCAGTGGGTTTCAATGAAAGTTCAGGTGGAAGAACCACAGCAGCACTGCAAACGCTGACTTCACAGAACCAGCTTGCTGGCACAGCTGGAGTAGCTCAATGAAAATAGTCTTCTTTTGTGAAAATATGTGAAGTGAAGTTGTGCTGCATCAATCAACTCACAGAAGGATGGCCATAGAGCGGACCACCGGTGAGGTCTGCCACTCTGAGTTTTACATATCAAGCAACCGCATCCCAAACTGATGCACTGCTCTCATTACCATGGTCAGCCATGCATACAACACGCTTCTGCAACTGAAGTTGGATCATAAAGGCATCTGCTGTCTTGCAAAAAAGTTAAATGTGGAGGGTTGGGGAATTTAAAGGCTCAAGTTGTGAATTCTTTAGAGCCTGTGCAATGATAATACACTATTACTGCTCTGATGACATTGCATTAATATTGATGTATTTATTCAAATTTAATAAGAGGTGACACACAAACTCACTATGTTTCCATCTACCAAAATGAAGCAGAAAAACGCTTGAAGAGGATTGTAATACAGAATGAGCTCATTTTGAGTCCACACTCCGAGATGGTTTGGCACTGCTGTGAACTTCTGAGGCAGGTTATTATAATAATAATAATAATAATAATAATAATAATAATAATGCTGTTAATGAGTCCATAAAGCATAATTGGAAAAAATGATTTCAGTTAATGAAAAACTATCCTTAATTCATACTGTCATTCTGCTGAATTAATTCAACTTTGTCAAGTTGTTAAGAAAATTAACCCAGGAAGAAAAAAAACAACAACTTTGCACAAATTTGTTGTTAGAACTGAGTTAAGTGATAGAGATCCATGGAGGTTCTGTGTGTGTTTGTGCGTGGGTGTGAGACAGAGACAGAGAGAGTCAAAGACACAACAGAGCAACATCTCTCAGACCAGAAGATAAAGTCAGGTTACGTTACAAAAAGGTATTTAAATGACCAAACAAGCGAGCAACAGCAGGACCTGGGTTCTAAGTGTTCCTTGAGCTTAATCACTGATCACATTTTAAACCAGTCAAAGCAAAAAAAAAAAAAAACACCAGCGATGTGGACTCACCTTGGCGTTAGCTTTGGTCTTGCTGTTGCTGTTATTGTTGGGGCCAGGACTGGCATCTTCATGAACTCTGTCCAGAAGCCAGAGGAGGAACTCGAGGGCATCATGCTGAGAGTTTCCCCGAAACTGAGAGCCGTATTTGGCCACTATGCTCTGAAGAGAGGAGAGACACATCATAATTAATCACTTTGGGTGATTTCAAAAGCCATTAAATATTGATGTCCTTCCTGACAAAATGAGGTCACGATCACACAGAACACGGGAAATTGTCATTTGTGAGTTAGAGTTGGTTCGGCGTGGAGCGTTCAGGGGAGAGATGGAAAAAAGCAGGGGCATTTCTCTCTCTTATTATCCCTTAATGCAAACTCATTTAAAAACGTCTGTCACACATTATTTGGCTATGAAAAGATCATTTCATAAAAATCACTCATTATTCTCTTTGGACGTTACTCCATGGAAAAAAATTAGCTTTTTATTAGATCTGAAAAGTTAGATGTTCACTCCAAGCAGAGAGCAGCTGCAATGTGGACAACAGACAGTAAATCGGGCAAAAAAAAAAAACATTCCAACATTGTTTACTGTGCTCTCAGATAGGGCCGCAGCCAACAATTCATTTCTCTGTTATGCAATTTATCATTTATACAATATCATAAGACAAAGAAAAATGAAAAGAAATATCATTTCCCACAGCCAAAGGTGACATCATGTTGTTTTATTCAGTCCAAAGCCCAGACTTATTCAATTTACTATCAAGTACTGTTTGACAAAGAAAAGTGTCAAAATCATCAAACGTAACAAGCTAGTATACACACACGTTTGGTATTTTTTGTTAAAAAAAAAAAGACTAAAACAATCATTTGATTATTAAATTAGTTCATTTTCTGTCTTTTGATCTCTGCTCTACTCTCAATATCTTCAGTCTTACAAGAACTTCGGACCAAAACAAGCTTACACAGATCTTAGAGTCAGTCTGTAGTATTCAACCCTCCCAATGCATTAACCTATCGGTAAATTCATACATTTATGCACACGGTTGCATATGAATTTTTTATTTTATCTTTTATATCATTTCTACAAATCAGTGAGGATAAACCACTTGTTTCAAATGTAATATGTTGTGTTAACCTGTGAGAGTCCAAGTGTCTGCGAGAGAGAGACACAAAACATCTTGACACAACGCTAGCATGAAAATGAATGATATTATTACACAGAACCGGTCATTTCAATCTTGAATAATCTAATATTAACTCAAAAAATGTCAAAATCATTAACTGATGACTGGCTGCAAGTTGTCAGTTCTAAAACAAACGGACAAGCCCTGACAAGCCATTTATACTAAATTCAGATTCAACTGCACCACTGACGTCTGAAAATCCTCCTTTTCCAAAGACATGGTCAGTAGAGTTTCACTTGTTTCAAGAAAATACAAACATCAGAATAAAGCAGATTACTCCAGAAACTGTTGCTCTTACTTAGCACTGAGAAATTTACTTCATCCTCTTTTTTATTTAGTAATGTTATTTAATATGTGCCCAGACTGCTATTTTTGGCAGTGTAACCACATCAGTGAAAAAAATAAAAATAAATAATCAGATACATCAGTATCAGTAGGAGCCATTTGTGGAGCCCAATGACATCTTAAGAAAATGTTCTCTGAACATATTCATGAGTCACACAAAGGATCTCCTTAAACCTGACAGGTGTTACAAGAAAAAAAAAAAAAAGTCAGTCTGTCTAATTCAATTATGAGGAAAGAGTTATGAGTTTATGAGTCGGATGGAGAAAATGACAGACCAAACTAATGACAGCATTAACACTAAACTAGGCGGCTACTTCTCCGACTCTGCATCGCTCTCCCTTCTCTGCGTGTGACTGACAGGATCCAGGCTCTGCTCCACACCTCATTAAAAATCACCACATCATACCTGCAGTGTACCAGTATCTAAATATAAACACGGTTGGTGATCCCCAGCCCACCCCACTACCCCCTCCCCACCCCCATCTGACGGAGATGGCGCGCTAATGAGCTTCATCACTATGAGGAAGCACTGACGGGGGATGGAGGGTTGAGGGACAGATGGAGAGCGGGAGCGGTGTGAAAGAGGAATGCTGGCGGAGTTTCAACAACGGACCCACGAGTGTTTTTCTGTCTCACTATCGATACGACGGAGTAGTTGTAGTTGGCCCAGAAATGAAAAGTGAGAAAATAGCACAGTTTGTCAAAGCTTACAACAAAATAAGGGGGCGGGGTGGGGGAACACAAAAGGACAAGAGGGAGGGTTTCCAAGGTTACAAGAACCTGGATGAGTCTGACGACATGACGAGGTTACGACTTCATTAAGATGAGTGTGTGAATTCTGCACTGGCCTCATCTCTGCTGTTTTCTCCCCATCACTTTTCTCTCCATTTGAGTGTGTGTGTGTGTGTGTGTGTGTGTGTGTGTCACAGCTGGGAATGGCAGTTTTGCTCATCGCTTTGATTTCTGTTTACAGTTTTGTCTCTCAGAGCATCTCTGGTGAAATGTACCACACAGCCTCAAAGGCACTGAAAAAGATTTGGCAAAGTAGCAAAGTTGTATTCCCAAGCATCAAGTCTTTTTTTTTTTTTTTTTTTTTAATTGATTTCTTGTAGAGGGAGAAATGAAAGAAAGAAAGACAGAAAATTCTTGAGACTTAGGAGTGCTGGAGATACACAGAAGAGAAAAGCAAATAGGTTGAAATGTTGAGTTCCTCTGCAGCTGACCTGAGCACAGCTCTGGTGGGATCTTAAGTGTTTGTTGAGCAAACACTTCAGAGCTAGTCAAGGAGAGGATGAAGGTGGGTGGAGGGGTCAACTTTGGGGGAACACAGAACTTTGTGTAAGAGCTATTGATCTGGTCTAGACAAAGGATCTGATTCTCAGCCCACAACCGATTGGGCCTGACCTTATGTGGTGGGTTGAGATAGAATTTTTTTTCTCTTAATTGAAGCAACCTTTGTTTCATTTATTGACTTTGCTCATCATCAAATTAAGAGCATGTGAAACAAGGATTTGTAGGCTATTTACTTTATTTCAACTGAACAGATTTCAGGAAGTATATGAATAACTACTGTTGACACCCGATTCCTACCTGCAATTACTAAACTGGAACTCCTCTCCATCAAAAGACCAAGTTGTGTTAGAAACACACAGTTACAGAAAATAATTAGGTTTGGTCTCAGATCATTTTTTTTGGGCCCAACAGGAGATCGGGCTCTGCTTCTCTGGGGGAAGATTTTTCAACTTAGCAAAAGGGAACAAAACAAAAGAATCGAAGGCTGTTGGCCTTTCCACAAACAAAGAAATCATCAAAAGGCGAATATAAGATAACAGAATGACAGATGACAGCCATAAAACCTGCACAATCTCTACGGAAGGGGTCATGACCTCGCAGCGGTCAGCAGAGGCAGGGCAGCACTCTGCTTCCACACCCAGATGTCTGTTTTAGTGTCCTATCCTGCTACCTTTGCTTCACCTCACACACCATTACCCCCTCGCACCCTCCTCCTCCTCCTCCTCCTCCTCCTCCACACCTCCATTCTCCTACTCTGTAAACAATGACGGATCAGAGTGCTGGCAGGCCAGGAATTTACTATAAACATACATCAAGCAAATGGCCCTCCTCTCTCTCCCTAAAAAACCTATTTACACCACCTCACCTCATCGTGGTCCAGCCTGCCAAACAGGCCTGCCTGGATTCCTCAGAGACAGAGAATGATACTGACAAATCAGGACAAATTATGACAAGGCATAACCTTAAGAGGAGCTGCACACACTATTCTTTTTCACACACACACACACACACACACACACACACACACACACACACACACACACACACACACACACACACACACACACACACACACACACACACACACACACACACTCCACCCCACACCCCACCCCCGCAGGTGTGGCTGGAATGTGGCTGGATAGGATCCGTCATTACAGGCTGCTCCATTTACTGTTTCATTTTTCAGCGGCCTGGTGTTGCCGGCTCACCTCTGCTGTCAGAACAGACCGGACGCACAGGGCAGTCATCACTTACAGCCTCCACTTATACCACTCTTTCTCCCCTCGTGCTGTGTTTTCATCCATCCCTTCTCTCTGTCTCTCTCTCTCCCTCCCTCACACTAACACAACCTCACGGTCCTCTTTCTTTTTTCCTCTTGTTCCATTATTTCTGTTTTTCTTTCCTCCCTATCATATGAGAACAATTCCCTTCACTAATCAGTCCCAGCTGAGCTCAGGCTGTCAGGTACCCTTGGAAAAAAAAACACACACACACACACACACACACACACACACACACACACACACACACACACACACACACACACACACACACACACGTGCGCCTCTCTTCAATGTGTAGCACCTGTCATTCCCTTCCTTCTCCTCCTACCATCTTTCCCAGTCTCAACTAATCCAGCCTACTCCTTCCTGTGTCTTGCTATAAGGCCACACTGGATTCACCTCCGGAAAACAGCAGACAACAGGCAGGGTTTGTTTTTGATGACAAATCTAAGCGCTATAATTTCTGAGAAGCTTGGAAATCCCTCAATAAAGGTGCCAGCACGTCAACACCAAACAAAGCCAGCATGTCCGCAGATGTCCCCAGCGTAGGATTTATAGGTGATCAGTAAGAAATAAGAAGGGATGAGATGTGATGGAAATAATCGCCTCTGAATGGTTTACAGCCCCTGGGCTCTGCTGAAACTGAGAAATTGATACTCAGAGGATTCACAGCTGAGGCTGTAAATACGCTACTGTGCGCACGACTGAGAGTCTAGGAGGCCGTATCTGTCACGCCATCATCAGCTGTATGAACATATATGCTATTTCAGTGCGTCTCCCATCACTGAGATAAAGTAGGAAAGTCATCCCGGACTGTCCTCCATGATTGGGTGATGGTAGTCTCACACCCCGGAACAGTAAAGATTGATTTATTCCCATGGCTTCCCACACTGTGTCGTCCAGGCTTGGTACATAAATCATGGGAGGGATACTAAACCTGGAGGAAAATGGTCTAATATCGCAGTTCTTACACAGAAAACAGCACAGACACACTGCTCCTTGTCTGTCTTTATTGCTTTTTCGTCACAGCGGTGTAGGTACAATGGAGTGTGGCT